ACAGATATAGCATAGAAATATCAATTAGTTAATAACAATATTTCATCTCACTCATCCAAGACATAAAAATTTTCTAAAGTTGATCTAAAAGTGGGTACAATCAAATTAGAAGCAAAGAAGGAGATGAATGGAAGACCGCTTTTAAGACTAAGTTTGGATTATATGAATGGTTAGTAATGCCTTTTGGGCTTACTAATGCTTCTAGCACCTTTATGCGTCTCATGAATCATGTCTTAAGGGATTGTATGGGTAAGTTTGTTGTAGTTTATTTTGATGACATCCTTATATATAGTAGGTTCCTAAGTGATCACATAGGAAACTTAAGGCAAGTCTTTAAAATTCTTAGAAAAAACCAATTTTTTGGAAATCTAGAAAAATGTACCTTTTGTGTAGATAATGTTGTTTTCTTAGGTTTTATTATTAGTAAAAAAAGGTTCATGTGGACCCCGAGAAAATCAAGGCCATCCAAGAATGGCCCACTCCTAAGAGTGTTGGAGATATTAGGAGCATCCATGGGTTGGCTAGCTTCTATAGGAGGTTTGTTCCTAATTTCTCCACACTCGCCTCCTCATTGTAATGGCATTGGTTGTGATGTTAACAATAGTAATTTTGAATTTTTTCTTTGTGAATTTAAGTTAGTCTTTTAATGTAAGTAGTTTATTGTGATTTAAGCATTGAAAATGATCATTCTTATTCTCATATAAGAAGGTCATTTTCATGTGTGTTCTCATAAGATAAGCTACATGAGTGCATCCTTTGTCGTGTGTATTTTCAACTAACAACCATGTAACGTATGTGTGTATTTTCAACTAATAATCCTTTGATGTGATGGATATTACTATCACAACTGTTATATTCACTATTATCCTGTCATTGTCACATGACAACAACAATGATAAAAGTGATGACAATAACAATGATGATAACAATAATGAATATTATTCAAACGAAAGGTAGGACACATTGACCCGAGGGGTTGCATGTATATTTTACTTGTGCCTAATAGATTTTACACCAATTAAGGGGTATCAAAACCCTCCCAAGTTCAAGGATGGTGTGAAATTCGCCCATTTTTAATACTTGAAACTCAAAGTAAATACATTTAATATTTTATTTATAAAAAGTATTTGATACCTTATTTAATTTTAAAAAAAATATATTTTCCTCATTTAGTGAGAGTCTCAAGTTCAAGAGTTGTTGGAGAAGGGCTGGGTTCGAAAGAGCTTAAGTCCTTATGATGTACCTGTGTTCTTAGTCCCTGAGAAGGATGGGAAATGGAGAATGTGTTGTAATAGTAAAGCCATCAGCAACATAACTGTAAAATATAGACATCCTATCACTAGGCTTGATGACATGCTAGACGAACTTCATGCAACCATTATATTTTCTAAAGTTGATCTAAAAGTGGGTACAATCAAATTAGAAGCAAAGAAGGAGATGAATGGAAGACCGCTTTTAAGACTAAGTTTGGATTATATGAATGGTTAGTAATGCCTTTTGGGCTTACTAATGCTTCTAGCACCTTTATGCGTCTCATGAATCATGTCTTAAGGGATTGTATGGGTAAGTTTGTTGTAGTTTATTTTGAGTTGTATATTAAGATCGGAAAACAATTAATCATTACATTGGTAAGAATTTTCAGGATGTTACAATTCTCCCCTCCTTTTAGAAATTTCTTCCCCGAAATTACCTGAAGCAAATAAAAACAGTTATGTTTCTTGCATCTGACTTTCTAATTCCCACGTAGCACTTTCTTCAACATTTCCTCCCCAAACAACTTTGACTAAAGGAATTTCCTTACCTCTTAGTTGCTTTACCCTCTTATCCTCAATCCTCAAAGGTATAGTTTCATAGGTGAGGTTATCCTTTAATTGAATGTTGTTGGATTCAACAATATGAGATGGGTCATGGATGTATTTTCTAAGTTGGGAAACATGAAAGACAATATGAAGATTTGATAGGGATGGAGGTAACGCAATTTGGTAAGCTACATCACCAATTCTCTTAAGGACCTGGTAGGGACCAATGAATCATGGAGTAAGCATGCGATATTTAAGTGCTCTACCAACTCCAGTCCAAGGAGTTACTTTAAGGAATACATGATCTCCCTCTTTAAACTCAAGGTCTTTCCTTCTTTTATCATGGTAGCTCTTCTTCCTACTCTGGGATGCTCTCATTTTATCCTAGATCATCCTAACCTTTTCAGTAGTCTATTGAACTATCTCAGGTCCTAATATAGCATTCTCTCCAGGCTCTACCCAACATAAGGGTGTCCTACATCTTCTACCATACAAAGCCTCATAAGGGGTCATCCCAATACTAGAATGGTAGCTATTATTGTAAGTAAACTCTATCAAAGGCAAGAAACTATCCCAATTACCCCCATGCTCTAAGATGCAAGCCCTCAACAAGTCTTCCAAAGATTGTATAGTTCTCTCAGTTTGGCCATCTGGTTGGGGATGATATGCTGAACTCAATCTAAGCTTAGTGCCTAACGCCTTATGCAAGCTCTCCCAAAATCTAGAGGTGAACCTAGGATCTCTATCAGAAACTATACTAGTAGGAACTCCATGCAACCTTACAATCTCACCTATGTACAACTTGGTTAACCTCTCCAAAGGGTACCTAATGTTAATGGTAATAAAATGGGCAGACTTAGTCAATCTATCCACAATGACCCATATAGCATCCAAGTTCTTCACTATTCTAGGTAACCCAACTACAAAATCCATAGATATGTTATCCCACTTCCACAGAGGCACATTTAAAGGTTGTAACAAACCTGAAGGTCTTTGGTGTTCTACCTTAGCTTTCTGACATATTAGGCAAGCATACACAAATTCCTCTACTTCCCTTTTCATCTTAGGCCACCAAAACATTTTCCTAAGGTCTTGG